GTAGATGCCGTCCTCGACGCTCAACTTCTCTTGACATATTAGTAATCGGTGTTCAGTTTGCGGTTTTACTAGCTCCCAAACAATAATTTCCAAATTATAAAAAAATTAAGCTTATCTTCATCTTTTTCATCCATAGAACTTTCCTCTGTTTCCAAATGTATCTTTTTTGCATCAGACATTTCAATTTCCATGTAAAACAACATATAATTCTCTATAGTGAAATATTTGTTATACATAGTGAATAGCCTTAATATTGCTTATAAATAAAGTTAAATTCTTAGATATGCGAAAATAGCCAAATACAAAACAAAAACTCAATGTTAATTTATGGAAACACTGAAATGTGTAGACCCGAAATCGTTTGAATTGGCACTACAAAAAAGTTATAAAATTCAATGCTAATGCTAATGAACAAAGTTAAATTCTTTTTATGGAATTAAGATTTGTTTTTTGGAATTATAAAACTTATCTCAGCGTTCAAACAGACAAACTTCCAAATTGTGCACATGGCAAAAAATGTTATGTAATTAGGCGCGTGGATTACAATTGTAGTCCACTCTTATTCAACTGTAGCTAAAAGTGGTAAATGTGGGCCTAGGCCCTCAATTTTATACTAAGTGAATACTTTTGTATATCATCGACAGCTATTCAAGCGGGCAATGTCATCCTCAACCCAAGTTTTAATTGGTCCTTGCTAAAAGATGTGTGGATTACATATGTAGTCAACGCGCCTAACGGAGGGATAATACTATGAAAGAGAACACGCAGTATACGTCGTATGAATATGCGGATATTCACCTAATTTACGGTGAAGCTTGCTGTAATGCCAGAGCTGCTCAAAGACTGTATGCAGAGCGATACCCAAATCGTCGGCCTCCGGGTCGTGAAGTATTCCCCCGCACCCATAGAGAAATTTCTGAAGGTAAGTAATTTTTACACCTTTCTTGTTTGAAGCCATTCTTCTTTTCACTATCATTTTTAACTTTTTTAAGGTCGCATACCTGGAAGGCGTGGCGGCGAAGCAGGACGTCCTGCAACGGTAGATGTTGAGGTTGTGTTAGAGGAAGTGGAACTAGGTCCATCGACTTCAGTGAGAATGATGGAAAGACGGACGGGAATACCAAAAACTACAGTTCACAAAGCTTTAAAAGACCATCGATTTCATCCCTACCACATTCAACGTGTTCAGGCTCTACAGGAAAGAGATTACCTGTCGAGGGTTAGATTTTGCCGTGAAATGTTGCGAATGCATGAATCAGACCCCAACTTTTTTAATAAAATAATTTGGAGCGATGAATCATCATGCAAACGTGATGGTTATTTTAATTTACATAACCTTCACAGTTGGCAGATAGACCATCCTCACGAAATGAGATAAGAACGTTCGCAGTACCAGTACAAAATAAATTTATGGTGCGGTATTTCTAATTGTCAGATATTGGGACCTGTTGAACTGCCGCCAATGCTCAACTCCTCCAGGTATTCAAGGTCCTTCAGGAACGGCTTCCAACTCTTTTAGAAGATGTACCCTTAAACCTGCGGCGAAGACTATGCCAGCAAAATGACGGATGCCCTGCTCACTACGGGCGTGAAGTAAGAGCTTATTTAGACGAAACTTATCCTCGCCGATGGATTGGACGATACGGGCCAATCACGTGGCCCGCTCGATCGCCAGACCTGAATCCATTCGATTTTTTCTACCGGGACAAAATTTATTCAAAAATAATTAAAAACGAAGAGCATTTTCGGGAACAAATAAATGGAGCTGCTGCTGAGATAGCCCAATTGAGTTTAAGATCTCTAAAAGCGTCTTTTCTTAAAAGGTGCCGAGCTTGTATTAGAGTAGAAGGTCGCCAATTTGAGCATATTTTATCAACAAATGAATAAATTTTTCTTCAAACAACTCATGTATATTCTATTTCACGTGAACCCATCCTTCACAAAAAATATTGATAGATATAGCCCTTGTTATTGACTCTAGTCCGAATCCCACTAAGTAACATAAAATAATGTCAGGAGCATGTAATAATGTACCTTTGTACTATTTAGCGTGTCATTGGTCAGTAATAAGAGCAACTTAAATTTAAATCTATTAAATACATTCTAGCGTGTCTCAGTCCTTTACCCACAAAAGCGGCCATAACTTTTTGTTTTCTATTCGAAATAGTAAGAGTGGCACATTTCTGAAATATTTATTAAATGAACAATTTTTTTATGTAATGTAAAGTTATAGCTCAGTACGTTTTTTTTTCACCAGAGATAGTCAAAGTTGGGGGAAAAAATATCAAAGAGTTGAAAATCCCAAAATAGTCCTAATTTTATAATGGTTCCTTAAAATATTCTTACTACATTGCATTTGAATATGGAGAAGCAACTATCTGGAAGTATTTTACATAAAAAATTTACTAAGTATAGCCTTGTTTGTAGATGCAGTTAAAGAAAATAGATGAAAAGGCACGATTTTTTTTTTTATACCAAAAAAATTTAAATATTTCAAAAGCGGTGACACTTTTACCTGAAAAATTTTTGCTTATCAGGGAGCTCACCCCCCCCACCTACCTTCTCCTCAAGTTTGGCAGGTTACTTCTGGGACACCCTATATATATAATAATTAATAATTACACCCAACATTTTTTAATGACATCACCTTACATATAAAAAAAATTACAAAATCAACTTTGTGTGTGATTCGCGCAAGCGTTCGAAAGTTATATTCGGCCCTATTATGGTTGTCGACGTCGATGTTTAAAAATGTAAAAATTTCATAAAAAAATAGCCCTCCTAAGTCCAACTCCAGTTACGCAGACCACAGTATTTTTACGAGAAACATCTTTTCTCAAAAATACTGTGGTCAGCTTAGCTGGAGTTGGACTTACGAGGACTATTTTTTTATGAAAAAATGGCATCGACGTCGACGTCGACAACCATAATAGGACCAAGTATCTACTTTTAATTTCCTATGAACTATGCATATATAAATAATTTAATACGTTAAAGATGCACTTACCCTTAAAAACTATAAATAATTAACCTGTGATTACTTACTGAAAATGTATTACTTATCATTTTATATGTGAAAGCAGACACTTTAAATAAATTCGTATACATAATACTTAAATTACCAATAAACTTAATTTTGTTCAAATTATTAAAACGAAACCTCTCCTTTTATCAGGGATGGAATTTCAAAATTTCCAAATGTGCGTAATAGTCTTCAAAAATAGTGCCGAAAAGATGTTGAAAGTGCCACAAAATTAACTTTCTATTAATATATTTTTAGAAATAATATATTTAAAATACTCTGAAGTAATTAATTAACTAAATTATTACAGTAAATCACTTTTATGAAGGATTCCTTAGACATATACAACGAAATATAGCTATTCTGACATTTTTACACACTTATGAATGTACATACATATATGCGAAAATATGTAGTTAAAAAATAATTTAACAAAGCTGTCTCTTTAAATAAGACAAGCCAAACCCTAGTAGGTGCAGCCCAGGACGACTGAGTCCACACTGACGGATATAGTAAATTAAAAGCTAGTTGTTTGCAAAACTTACTTTTCGTACTGCGTATTCACAATAGCATTCTACGGTTTGTAAATATTTCTAACGGCACTTATTTTAATTTTTTAGTGCTTTTAATTTTCACTTTCTGTAATTTTTTATTCTATAATGTGGAATCAGATTGTTTGTTATATATTGGCATTTTATTCTAAATGTCTATATTTTATGATTGTGCCATAAGTGCTCTGAGAATGAATGTGCCAAAAAAGGCACTATTGTGCCTACTTTTCCATCACTGCCTTTTATTTCACCAGAAATATTAGTGCGATTAATGAGACGTCGGAATATGACATTTTTTGCGGAAATGGTTTTTTGCAAGATCTTTTGTATTTGACTTTTGCTAGTGTGCAATGATCCCTCTTTCTCCTGGTATATCACATGCCAATCAGAGATTGGCAAACGATCAGTGTTGCCGTTTAAGCCCTTTGGTGGCTAGATTTAGCTACCACATACTTCTTTTGGCCACATAAATTTAAAATTGCCCCTAGCCCTTTGGAGAATTTATTCATACATGACATGAAAAAGTTGTATATGCTTAATTTGATCTCATTTTTTTTTTTCATTTATGTAAGAGATGAATTTTTAAACTAAGAAAGACTGATATTTATATTGTATTTTATGTTTCTTACGTTTTTATACACACATACTGTAAAATTGTTAGGGCTGTTAACTTGTCTATTAACGATTTAACTATAGTTTAAAATAGATAAGTTTGCGGCCCTTAATATGCTTAATTTGTTAAATGGCCATTAAGTCGATTGGCCGTGTATGTTCTTGTGGTGTGATTGTACCAGCTGCTGTGCGACTTCAAAAACTATTTGAAAATTTTTCAATTGTACCAGCATGCTGGTGTCGTTAGTGGTGAAATTAGCTAAATTTTCTAAGTAAAAAGTATTGTGGCGGAAATTTCTTGCACTATATGAGTCAAAGCCGTGTTTTGTGGAAGATTAACTTCACGATATTGCAGTTGTGAATTACAAAAAAAGAAAACCATGTTTAACAAATTGGTAGAAAAATTATGAAATTTCGGCTCTAATCATTTCGATCTTTCCTCGACCTCATTTGTAAAGAAATAAATATTGTACCAGCATGCTGGTAAGTTATATGCTTCGAGCCTGATGGTACAATCACTTGATGGAGCCAGCAAGCTGGAGTCGTATATATCCCCTTTTACACAAAAAGGTTTTTGGTGGAATAAAATATTAGCTTTCAACTGAGCTTAGTTTATTGTTTTTCTATACCATTACTTATTGAAAATGTTTGCGTCTATACTTATACAGTAGTACCTCGATTCTTGCACATACTCGGTACTTGCACACCTCGATTCTTGCAACATAAAAAATTGTTCCATTACGTACTCAGTACTTGCGACATCCAAAAAATTTTAACTCGATACTTGCGACATTGCCTTGTTGCTTTTGGTAACGGTTCCTTAGATTCAATAAAATTCGGGGAAGTCCCGATTTATTTCGGAAATGAATTGCTGTGATTGGCTAATTCTCTTACGCACGTGTATTTTGGGACATTTGAATCAGTTTTAACGGACGTTTCATTGAGTACGGTCTCACAATGGCAGGGAAAAAATTTACGTTGCTTACAATAAAGCAAAAAGCTGAAATTTTAAGGAAGCTAAGTGAAGGATTTTCTATCGATGCCTTAGCCAAAAGTTTTCACGTGCACAGGTCAACAATAAACCGCATTAAGAATAAGAAGAACACCATAAGGAAGTTCCTGGCGCATGCTGAATCTGGTCCTGGGAAGAGAAAAACGTTTAAACCTGCAGAGCTTCCTAAAATGGAAAGAGCATTGATGAAATGGTTTGCAAATCAACGAGCCAAGAATTTACCAATCACTTCTGATATGCTTAAACAAAAGGCCAAGTTTCTCCATGCCAAAATTCAGGAAAAATCGGGGGACTTCCATGCTAGCAATGGTTGGATTACAAACTTTAAAAAAATATATGGAATACGAAGACTCAAAATATGTGGAGAAAAACTTTCGAATAAGACTCATTCAGTTAATCCATTTTTACAAAAACTGAACAAAAAAATTGCTGATTTAGGTTTGACCAAGGACCAGATATACAATGCCGATGAATCTGGTCTCTTTTGGAAGCTTTTGCCTGATAGAACTCTTGTGCGGTCAAAAGAAACTTCCGCTCCAGGACATAAAATCAGTAAGGAAAGAATAAATTTTCTGGCTTGCACGAATGCATCTGGAAATCACAGAGTAAAACTAATGGTTATTGGGAAATCATTAAACCCACGATCACTTAACAATTTTACGGATATTCCAGTTGTCTACAAAGGAAATAAAAGTGCTTGGATGACCTTGGCTTTGTTTGAGGAATGGTTTCACAAAACATTTGTTCCAGAGGTACATCTGGTCATCTTTGTTTGTAAAAAATTTCGTTTATTAATTTAAATTTCCTAAAATTGCAGGTAAAAGGGTTCCTTCGTGTCGAAAATCTTCCCGAAAAGGCTCTATTGCTTATTGATAATGCTCCATGCCATCCCAAAGACGGCGAGTTAATGAGTAGTGATGGTCAAATATCTGTAATGTGTCTTCCTCCAAACTGTACTGCACTTATACAGCCCATGGACCAGAATGTTATAAGACTTACGAAATTGAACTACAAAACAAGCCTTTTAAGTGACATCGTTCGCCGTGGAAAAACAATAGACGAATCTCTGCGAAACATCAACTTAAAACACGCAATATGCTTTTTAGCTAATGCCTGGAATGCTGTTAATGTGACCTCCATTCAGTCATCATTTCAAAAACTGTTTGAGGTAACATCCGAATGGGATAGTGAAGATGTCATCCCTCTTTCAGAGTTACGCTTACAGCTTGTTGAAGATACATCCAATATTCAAGCAATTTCAAATTTGCTTCAAGAAATAGAACCATTGCAGCAAATATCCGATTCTGAAATTGAGCAATGGATTGCTGAACCTATTTTGGAGTCTTTTGAACAAAATGAAGATCCCTGTATCAATTGTGACCTTACTGATGGTGAAGAAACAAACAACGTGGTAGTAAATACGAAGAAAGTTACACAGGAGGAGACTATATCAGCATACAATATTTGCTTAGAATGGGCTGATCAAAATAATGCCTCTTTAGACGATATTATGACGCTCCAGAGACTTAGAAGCAGCGTAGTACTGAACAAGCGAGCTTGCACAAAACAAACAAAAATTTCAAATTTTTTTAGTTCCACATAAAGTATGTGAGTCTTTCTATATTTATGTATATGAAGGAATTAAACTTAAGCGTATTGAATTAAAATACATATTAAAAATAATAAACTTATTTTCCAACCAAATTCTTTCATAAAATTGCCTTTTATTTCATACAAAAAAAAAATACTCGCTACTTGCGACAACGTCAATTCTTGCACAGAGCCCTGTTTTCATTATGTGCAAGAATCGAGGTACTACTGTATATGTATATGTAAGTAAAAAATTTTAGCTACCATTTTTAGCCACAACTACTTTTTTTTAGCTCTTTTTAGCCCTTTTTTTAAAGGAATTTGGCTATCATTAAAAATGATTCGCGGCAACACTGCAAACGATGCTGTTTTTGTGACTTTAAGCCTGCTCACATTAAAAAGAGGGGATGAACGAACACCAGCGCGTAGCGTGCAGTGCTTGCAAATACAGCCACCGCAAGTAAACGATACTTATAATAGCTCATACTGATGTTGAATTCGGCAAACCAGTATTCCGAGCAGTGATGGAAAATGAGTGTGCATTGTGCCATTTTCGGCCCTTTCGGAAGCAACCACACAATCGGCTGATTTTCCGCACTATTTTGGGATAACTCAATGCAGCTAATATTTCTTTCGGACCCGCAATTAAAAATATATTTTTCCCCCTTTTTTATCGTATATGCTTAAATTGATACATGATATAAACCAGATAGATAAGAAGAAGAAGCTCTCATTCACATTCTGCATATACGCTCACAATTTTTGTTTAAACGAATTTGTTGCGATGTCATCTCTAAAGCAATATTGAATCTCATTTAATATATGTGTAAGATTTAAATAATCATATACCCATTTTAGATACATATTTTTTGTTGATCAAATGCCGAAATATTTCTTCCTAAAGAAAATTTTAGAGAAACTGAAATTAAATTTTTTTAATTAAATGCTTTACAATTAAATGTTAAATTTTGCCAAGATTTAAGAAAGAGAACCTTGATAATGACACATTTTAAAGCCGTTTCGGCTTTCGAGCCAAAAGGTGCCCACACTTACCGACGGGTACGTATGCCGTGTCTGTTTAACGTAGCAACATATAAAATTTACTGTTGATAGAGGGAGAGAAGCACGCCTAACCGTCGCACGTACACGGTGGTGAGTTTTCATTTACATGGCGCTCTCTCAAGTTTGATCGTGTCAGCTGACAGCTGAGTGTGGCTTACACGATCAAACTTATGAGAGCGCCATGTAAATGAAAACTCACCACCGTGTACGTGCGACGGTTACGCGTGCTTCTCTCTCTGTCTCTCAACAGTAAAGTTTATATGTTGCTGCGTCAACCCTGCACTTAAAGGCAGTAAACTCTGACGATACGAATAATATTGTACCTATACGTATAAAGTTATTTCCTGAAGCCGAGGTGATAAATGCAGAAGCCATCAATCAAGAATATGAGCATTAGCTTACTATGCAGGTTGCCTGAGAAATTAGTTGAATGAGTTGATATTTCCAAATGTGTTTCATATCTCGCAGGGGACACTGTCTTTGTCACATTCTTCAGCTTGCGTTGGGAGCATTGTTTCATTTAAAAATTGAATTTAAACAAAAACAGGTATAAGTTGGCTATAAAAATGGTTGGACATTTAATCTGCAAATACTTTAGCAATAAAATATACTGATGCTTTGTATTTTTACAATGCAGGGTTAAAGATTAACGACGAATTTTGTTCATACGTATTTTTTTTTTAAATACATAAGTACTTTCAGGTATGCAGTTTTATAGTCCATTCAATTTTAGTATAATAAAGATGAAGTATGAAATGGCTTAAAATCGCTTTAATTTTTGGGAACATTTTTCGTTGAAGATGCTGCACTTTTTCTTCTACATACATATATAAATCATACTCTTGTTTTGAATATACAATTAACAATATGTATAAAGAAATGCAAAAAAAATTAATATTAAAAATCAAAGCGAATTCCTAGCCACTTTAAACTTGCGCTTCATTATACTACAATTGGATTAACTATACACTGCATATTCGAAAGATTTCTAAAAATTCTGACAACAAAGTTTTAAATTTCAATGAAATTTTTTTTTGTAGAAAGTTTGAAACTTTGATTTTTACGATTTTGGTTGTTGAATTGACTATATTTTTATAAAAAAGTTAAAAATTACATAAAAGTTTATTAAGTTGTAAAATTTTTTCAATATACCGCGCTGCCATGGTGAAATAAAATTAAGGTGATGTCAGTTGGGGGGTGTTTGTTGTAATTTTGACAAATTCGGTAGCCCCGTTCTGAATGATGCCCTCTTGAACAAAAACTACACTAGAAAAACTCCTTTTTGGTATTGTGCTGAAAGCGTAAGAGTCAACATTATCAACATCCTTGACATATCTGTTTAGTTGTGACTTTTCCATTTAATATTTATTGCAAAAATTGTGATTTGTGTGTATATTCAACAGCTTTTAATTTTGCAATTTTTTGGAGGTTTTCCGGACTTTGGCTACAAATTTAGGTAACCAATTTTAAGTATTTATGCCAAGTGGCAAATAAAGACTATGTTTACCTTCCACAGGTTTGTGAATTGTGTTTTTTATCTCAGCGAGAAGCTGCGATATAAGTGCGATTTTTGGCTGCAAGTTCCAGGTGAGTTTATTGAATTGGCTAGGTTGTTAATAAAATGGTCAGTAAAAGTGCGTTTTTTGTTTAATAGGTTTTGGAAGTTGTGCCTGTGCACCTACTAGAGGCTGCAATACAAGTGTTTTACAAATAAAATTACGAAAATCCTTTTATAATTCATAAATAATCGGTCTTTTAAAAAGAAGAAAAAACTTACTAAGAGTAGTTGTGTTTATTTAAAAAATTAAAAAATTATTCAGTAACTCGCCAGCAACTCTCCAGTAACTTAATTTCTGCGAACTCGCTCTCAAAAAACAAATATCCAGAAAAGTACGTGAACACAAATCCAGTAATAATTATCAAGTTTCATGATATATATAATAATATATAAATATATTTTATATTTAAATTGGTTTATTTGGTAAATTTCAATAATAAAAACCCAAAAATAGTTTCCTTATTAGTTTAAGTTGCATCCAGCAAGTTACAAGTAAAAATTAATCCATTAAAAATGCAGTAAAAACTTTGAACTTCAGCTGTTTCGCTGATATTACTAGAATAAACACAATAAATTTTCATTTAAAAAACGGCCTCGAGCTCAATATAAATTGTTGAATATAATTACTAGAAATGGGTAAACCTAACACAACTATTGTTTATTATCTTTAACGTTGTTTCGGTAAAATAATTCTTTAATACATACTTTTTAAAAATAGTATTCAAAAGGGCGTTAAAATGGTCCTAAAATGTTCCCCTTTTTTTACTACATTTATATGCATTGCCGAAATGGGGCTACCAAAAAAGTGAGGTTATGTAACTGACATCACCTTGTTTATTCCACTATGCCGCGCTGCTATATTCGTGAAAAGTGTTGTTCGCATATGTTTTGTTCTGTAAAGTTATGTTTTCCCATTAATTTTTGTGATAATTCATTAAAACATTGAAATACTTGTTAATATTGTTCCATTTGCTTAAATAAAGATAGAAATATGGGGTACTATTCAGTAATAAAATACATCTTTTTAACCCTGGAAGGTCATCGTTATTTTTATGACGCAAAGGTAATCCTTCGTCGATTTGACGACAGCATTTCTAAAAGGCGTTATTTAATTAACCTGTGTATCAAAATGCACAAAAATTATTATTTTCAAATTATTTTGTTTATATATTTTTTAAATAAAACAATATCAAGTACTCTTTCTTTAGTCTTTTGATTGTAATTCAAGATTTCACAGCTCTGATTCATTTGGCTGTTTGTACAAAACATTAATTAGAAAATATAAAAAATAAATAACTTAAAGTACATATAATTCATTTAAATTGTTTTTTTCTTAAAAATAATACTATGAACTAAAAAAGCAAAAAATTTACAGATACGACAGTTCTCATTTTGAGAAAGAGGCGCAAAACTCTATTTTATGCACTCCACAGAGACTTTTTTGGCATTTTGCACAGGATGATTTGTTATGCGTCGCTTAGAAGGGGGGCAAATTGTGCAATTTTTTTTCTTCGTCGGTATAACTTTTGGTTGCATTGAACGTGTATTATAACTGCACAAGTAAAATATATAAACAAACAAAAAAAAAACTTTAGAAAATTAGTTTGAAAACATAAACGTCAAACATACACAAAGTTCATCCTTCGTCGTTTTGACTACGCACATTTAAAAAATAAGTACTTACACGAAGCGCATGAATCTAAGTAACCGCACACATCAACAGCACAACACCGACTACAAAAATTAGCTGTACGAAAAATTAGCACTATACAAACAAAGGAAAACAGCGATACCGGTAACGACGAACCATGACCTTCCAGAGTAGAAATATAAATATAGAGTAGGCATAAATTAAAGGGTATATAAAAAGGATCTTTCAATTGAGCGTACTTTTCATAAAAAAATGAATGCATATAAAAAAAGGTTTCCGTGAACTTCTGTGTATCTAATATGCAATAAGTATTGTATATATATATAATTTATAAAAGAAATGGTACCTATCGACGATTTTTAAGTTATTGGCACATTGACCTGCATTTAGGCACATTTTTCGGAAAAATTAGGCACAATTTTAAATATTGATTTTCCATCACTGATTCCGAGTGAACGTGCACGAAACCAGCAATCGCTGTATTTGTATTTCGTTCGTTATTTCTGTCTAAAAGCTATTTCAATCCCCTCTCACATGATATTAAATTTCTTTAATTTTGATAAGCTGTTTGTTCATTTTCCAGAAAAAAACTTTTATGTCGGAATAAAAAATATTAGGCCAAGTTTAATTGGTAAAAAATAACTGTTATTTTCAGTCCCTGGAATATTGTGCAAGTGCATTGATAAAACGTATATCTGACCAGTTACAGAAGAAAGGATAAAAAATGAATTACAAAAACTAAAATCGAAAAACGCAGTTGACGTTACAATCAGTGTTGACGTTTTAGCCCTTTGGTGGCTAAATTTAGCTACCACATCCTTTTTTTGGCCACATAAATTTAAAATTGCCCCTAGCCCTTTTTTA